ATCTTCCCCAGGCATATCTTAGCCAAATTGGCAACAACCACAGATAAAGATAAGATACTAAAACTGGCAAGAAAAAAAACAAGTGACTTCAAAGGTCACCCCATCAAACTAACACCAGACTTCTTTACGGAAACAATGCAAGCAAGAAAAGAATGGGAAGATGTATTGAAAGTGTTATGAGACAAAAAAATTCAATCAAGATCATTGCATCCTGCAAGATCATCCTTAAAATGAAAAAAAAAAAGATTAAAATCTTCTCAGACAAACAAAACCTGAAAGAATTTGCCAACACCAGACCAGTTCTCCAAGAAACCCAGAAGAAAGTACTGTTCCAGGAAAAGTAAAGAAGTAACAGCCAGAAACACAGGAGTAAAAGTCAACTAAGACAATGGCCAACTTAAACATTGGGACAGGTCCAAAAATATCAATAACAACATTGAAAATTAATGGATTAAATTTTCCAATCAGACACAGACTGGCTGAATGGATTATAAAACAAAAACCCACTTCATAAATAGACATACATAAACTGAAAGTGAAGGGTTGGAAAAAGGTTTTCCATGCAACTGGGAACCAAAAAAGAACTGGAGTCACAATACTAATTTCTGACAAAATAGGCTTTAAAACAAAAACTGTTCGAAGAGATAAAGAAAGGCACTATATTGTAGTAAAAGGATCAATAGATCAAGAAGATATAACTCTTATAAATATCTATGTGCCTAACACAGGAGCACCCAAATATGTGAAGCAAAGACTGCTAGAGCTAAAAGAACAGATAGGTCGTAATACTGTAGTTGTTGGGGACCTCAACACCTTATGATCTCCTTTAAACAGATCTTCTAAACAAAAAAATAAGCAAAGAGATACAGGACCTAAATGATACTATAAATCAAATGGACTTGAAAGAAATTAGAACTTTTCGTCCAAAAACCACAAGATACACCTTTTATAAAACCACCACATGGATCCTGCTCGAAGATTGACCATATCATAGGGCACAAAGCAAGCCTCTACAGATACAAAGGCATAGAAACTATGTCCAGCATCTTCTCTGAACATGATGGAATTAAACTTCAGTTTAATTTCAAGAGAAATCCTCAAAAGTTCTCAAATACAGAGAAACTAAATAATCTATGCCTGAATGACTCCACAACTACTGAAAAAAATAAAGACTGAATTCAATTAATGGAAGCCAATGCCAATGAGGACAAGAGTTTCCATAATCTTTAGGACACTGCTAAAGTAGTCATAAGAGGGAAGTTCATAGCAATTAGTGCACATAAGAGAAACTGGGAAAGAATGCAAATGAATCACCTAACATCATAACTAACAGAATTGGAAAGGCAACAGCAAAAAGATCCAAAAAACTCCAGGAGAAAGGAAATAATAAAGACCCAAGCAGAAATAAATGAAATAGAATATAAACAAACTATACAGAAAATAAATGTAAGAGAAAGTTGGTTCTTTATAAAGATAAACAAAATCAATACACCACTAGCAAGACTTATTAAGAAGAAGAGAGAAAGGAACCAGGTGAATCAAATCTGCAAAGAAGGAGGCAAAATAACAACAGATATAGGAGAAATATTATTAGAGGATACTAATGTATGTCTTTGCATACATCTGTATGTGAAGACAAAAGATAACTTGGATGAGAGGAACATATTCCTGGGCAAATATACTCTACCTAGATTGAGCCAGGAGTATATAGAAAGTCTGAATAGGCCCATAACAAGTCAGGAGATTAAATCAGTAATAAATAACTTCCCAACAAAGAAAAGCCCTGGCCCTGATGGATTCACCTGTGAATTCTACAAAACTGCTCTCAAGTTATTTCTAAAGATATAAAAGGGTGAATCTCTCTCTAATTCATTCTATGAAGCCTCTATCATCCTTATCCTTAAAACAGATAAGGACAGAACAAGGAAGGAAAACTACAGACCAAAATCCCTGATGAACATAGAAACAAAGATTTCCAACAAGATACTAGCAAATTGTATCCAACAACTT